GCATAAAATATATTTTTCCTTCTCTTCACTTTTAGTCTGTGTATGTCTTTGGGTTCAAAGTGAGTCTGTTGTAGGCAGCATATAGATGGGTTGTTTTTATGCATTCTGTAACTCTATGTCTTTTGATTGGTGCATTTACTCCATTTACATTTAGGGTGATTATCGACAGACATGTACTGATTGCCATTGCACACTTTAGATTCGTGGTTACCAAAGGCTCAAGGGCAGCTTCTTTACACTCTAACAGTCTAACTTAACTCACTTATTATGTTATTTCAAATATAATCTAAAGGTTTTTTTTCTCCTTCTTCCTCCTTCACTCTTTATATATCAGGTGTCGTATTCAGTACTTTGTGTATTCCTTGACTGACTTTGTGGGTATTTAATTTTGTATTTGCTTAGCAATTAATTGGTTTACTTCCTTTACTGTAGTTTTATTTTCTGTGGTGAAAGCTAATTAGCCTTTGAGCACTTCCATCTATAGCAATACCTTTAAAATACACTGTAGAGATGGTTTGTAGGAGGTAAATTCCCTCAACTTTTGCTTTCCTGGAAATTGTTTAATACCTGCTTCAAATTTAAATGATCATGTTGCTGATTAGCGTGTTCTTGGTTGGAGGCTCTTCTGTTTCATTGCATTTCATTTATCATGCCACTCCCTTCTGTCCTGTAAGGTTTCTGCTGAGAAGTCTGATGATAGCCTGAAGAGCTTTCCTTTATATGTGATCTTTTTTCTTTCTCTGGTTGCTTTTAATCCTCTCTCCGTGTCCTTAATTTTTGCCATCTTAATTATTATTTGTCTCGGTGTTGTCTTCCTAGGGTCCCTTATGTTGGAAGATCTCTGAATTTCCATGACCTGAGAGACTATAACCTTCCCCAGATTGGGGAATTTTTCAGCAAATGTTTCCTCAAGGAAACTTTCTATCCCTTTTTCTCTCTTTTTCTATTGTTACCCCTATTTGGCAAAATTGTTCCATTTGGATTGTTCACACAGTTCTCTTATTATTCTTTCATTCCTAGAGATCCCTTTTCTCTCTGTGCTTCTTTTTTGTCCTGTTCTCGCATTTCTATTTCATTTACCATCTCCTTTATCTACTTTTAAATCCCTCCTTTTAAAATCCTCCTTAAATCCCTACTTTTAAAACATACATAAATTGTATGTTTCATTTCAGATACTGTAGTTTTCATTTCTATCTTTTTTGTGAAGTCCTCCCTGAGATCTTGAATATTTTTCTGTAGCTCCATGAGCATGTTTATGATTTTTATTTTGAAATCTTTATCAAGACTGATAATTTCAGTTTCACCTAGCTCCCTTTCTGTCTGTTGCATTCTTGTTTGTACAAAATTTTGTGTCTTTCCACATTTCTATTGATTCCTATGGAATAATAATTTTGTGTGGGCAGTGCTCTCTAGTGCCCAGCATCCGGAGCATGGCGGGGATCACAGGCACACAGGGCCAGGGTTTGCCAGGACGAAAAAGCTTTTTCCTCCTCCCTGGCTGCAGTGCTGACATCCACTGTCAGGTCCAGTGTGCTGAGCACACGTGGAGGAGCCTCTGCATTACACTCCTATAGCTGCCATAGGTGGGGCCACCCTCTGACTGGTCTGGCGTGATGGTGGGGGCAGCAGGTGTGTTGACCAGAGTCTTCCAGGAGGAAGAAGCCGCAGGCTGTGTATAGCAGTGGGGGTCCTTGGGGCTGCATTGCTAGTCAGGAAGATGGAGCATGTGAAGCTCCTGAAAGTTCCCAATTTGCTGGGCTGAGTAGGCGAGGATGATTTGTCCTTTCTCCTGAGCAAGCAAGCTTTGTGTAATCTTTGCCCCTTCTGCACCCCTCTCACTGTTGGGAAGTCTTTCAAAGTGCCTGCCTCTCTTCTGTTCCAGAGTGGGTACCTGTTCTCATGTGGCTGGAATCTCAGTCTCTACAAGTATTCTGCCTGTCTTTGCTTTCCAACTACACTAATCTCCAAAGCACCATGTAATGTGGGTTCATGTTCCTGGAGTAGATCTCCAGGGCTGGGTGTTTAGCAGTCCTGGACTTCTACTCTCTCCCCACTCCATTTCTCTTCCTCCTGCCCGTGACCTGGGGTGGAGAGAAGACTTACTCCGCCTGATTATGGCTTTTCTATTTTACCTTTTCCTGTGAGGTCTTCTCTTTTCCCCAGATGTAGGCAGCCTGTTCTGCAGTCTTCACTTCACTCTTTCAGGATTAGCTATATTTGCTATATTTTCGTGTTACATATGGTTTTCGGAAGATCTTTCTGCTTCACTTCTCACACGCCACCCCAAGAAGAAGCATTTTTAAAAGACTGGAATAATAGTCATGAAAATCTAAACCAATTCTTGATTCAAGTTGTTCCCTGAGACCAAGTATATGCTCTTTGTTAAAGTAATTGGAACTGGAAATTACAGATAATTACTTATAGGCTTGGTTTATTCCAGAAATAAGACACAAATAGTAATCAACAGACCTTTCACCCTACATCAAAGGCTTTATTTATTCTAATATCAAGACTTTGGCTTTTGAGAGGCTTTTTAGATATTTTTAGTTTAAAAATAAAATCTTTTAAGAAACCTATGTTTTTAATAATTCCCATTCCTAACTCTTTTGATCTATTTCTCTTGATTTCTTAAGTGATAAAAGTATCTGAAACTAAAATTTGAAATGATTTCTACTTTGGCAAAAGAACTTAACTGAAGTCATATTAGGCTTTAAATTTATTTGAGAGTAAGATATAAACAGTGGTTATAAATTGAGGCTAAAATGGAAATTATTCATTTTATGAAAAAGAATGTTTAATTTAAAAAACAGGTAACCACTGGAAGATTATCTCACAAGCATCTAAAGATAAATAGAGAAAGGAAAGACTCAAAGAAGACTCAACCAGTCCCAATAAATGAATGAAAGTAATTTAAAAATTTTAAAAATATATATGGTTAATATAAGCCTATAATAACAGCAGAAGGCATTTCTATGAGTGGAACAGTTTAAATGTTTTGATTAAATGGCAAAGGCTCAAAATGAGTTCAAAGAAATTTAGTTATAGGCTACAGATACAGTTAAAATTAAATCATCATCTCATTCTTAACAAAAATCTACGTGTACTTAGCTATACAAAAAAGTGTGATAAACTCTTAATTGTTACTCTGGGAAAAGGAAAAGAGGGGACTTGTTCTTATCTTTGTTTTGAATAGTTTAGAATGATTCAAATGATTTCAATGAGAATATGTTTCTACAGTGTAACTTTAAAAAAAAGAGAGAGAGAAAAATTATAGAGGAAAATAGATCCTTCCAAAATGTGGTAATTACCCAGATCTCACTACACACACACACACACACACACACACACCACATTAGGGAAAGATGGAAAGAACTAGAACTAGGACCTGCTTTTGGGAAGAGGTAGAAATGGCAGATATAGCAGATAAAATATAGGCTGTTTAGTAAAATTTGAATTTTAAAACAACTCATTTTTTTACTATAAATATCAAATATTACATGAGATACTATACTAAAACATTTTATTCATTGTTACTTGAAATCCATATTTATTGCACATCTTCTATTTTATCTGGCAACCCTAGTAAGGGGTATACAAACAAGTGGGTGAAATAAAGATAGTTCAAGAAAGCAGAAGCCCTATCTGAGACTGAATTTACTGTACTGGGGACAGGGTCCAGACTTTAACACACCGAGGAAAGGAAGCTTTGAGAGCAACGTGGGTCACTAACTCTTAACGTGGTGCCCAGAATAGGAACAGGAAAACAGTACTCTAAATGTGGAAAGAGGAGCTGTGGTTGAGGGAAGCGAAAAGAGAGGAACTTTATACATGACAGAATATGAGAATGGCCCTTGAGGCAGAACATGAGTGATAAGGAAGGCAGGAATAAATGCTTCCAGGGACTCAGGGGACACACAGGCCATGCTTTATGTCTAGATTACCAGTAAAAATAACTCAAGGAACAATATCAGAATATTATGGATAGCACTGGGACAGGAATCTAGGTTAAACTAACAGGAGGAATGGGAATAAGGTATGGAAGATTGTGATTACTCACATTTTGGTAAATGGATAGGTTTTGGGTTTTATTTTAAAATGGTAGTTGTCAGAATAAGGACATTTGCAGAGTATTTAGTAGATACTTAATATTAGCAATGGTTTATTTGTCTGACATTGTTGGAAATAGGTGTTCCCAAATATTTAGTGAATTTTCTAGGTAAATGAATAGACCATCTTAAAGGCCCAAAATTTTTAATTTAAAAGAAAATGAATGAGGTTGTATTTAAAACAATATGCTGTAAATCAGTAATCTATTGTCCCTATTCAATTGTGTTGAGCAAATATAGAAAAGAGACAGAGGAGAAGGAGGGAAGGAAGGGAAGGATGAAGGGAAGGAGGGACGGAAGAAGGAAGGGAGGGAGGGAGGGGTAGAAAAGGAAGGAAGAAAATATAATTAATGGCATTAGAAATTTCTGAAGTATGTGGGCATCTGTTTAATCTGTCAACCCTCTGATGTAGACATTAATATCTCAACTCTAAAAAGGAAAATACTGAGTTTCAGATAGTTTAACTGGCCTGCCTAAGGTTATGAAGCTAGTAAATCAGTCTCTAAAGCCCATAACATTTCCACCTCAGCTCTCTGCTTCCTTGATACAGTGGTCCCCACACACATTCTGTGACATCAGTCAGATCTCCCAAAAGCATATCATCCTCAGCTTTGAGATGGCCAGGTAAAATTAACTCTGAATGTGTAAAATATTCTTTACTATAACTAATTATGTACATATAAAGGTATCTAATCATTTTCTAACAATGTATTTGAAGATAATTGTATATCTTGTCACTTAAAAATGAATATAACGAAGGTAACCCACCAAGGATGTATATAAAACTTACCAGACTACATTCTAAAAATAAAAGGAAATGAAGTCAGAGAGGAAAACATACACTTAAGGATATTATGAGAGGAAATGATTGTGTTCATTTTTTTTTTCCTTCAGTGATCAACCTTTGGGGAGCCACAAAATATTTCAGAAAGATAAATCGGTTATTCAACTTAATCTGCGTAACAATGGAGACGTTCCAGGCAAGTTATCTCGAAAGGTAAGACTTTCTTAGTGGTTTCAATTTGCAAACTGATCGTTTTAAGGACAATATTCTCATCTTCATTGAATGTTGCTAATTAGGAATTACATAGCCTAATGAATACATGTTCCTTTGAGTATATATATTTATTGAAATGTAATGAAGTAGTCAAATACATATTGAATATATTATTGAAACATGATGAAATATTTATCTAAATGACTTAATTTGGACTAAAGCACTTATATGAACACATTAGTGCAACCTCAGTATAATAACTAATCAATTGGTCTCTTGGAAAAATCGTTTATGAGAAACTTATTTAGGTTACCATATTTATACTATCCATGAATCCACTAAGTGAATGGAATAGAAAATATGAAGAGAAAACCATTACACAATCTTGCCCTATTTGAAGACTGTTTGTGTCTATGTCAACAGAGTCCAAATCAGGACACATTAATATTCATTATATATATAATAAAACCACCTAGAAAGGGATTACTATGCTCTAATGACAGTTTCATGCTGTTAGATATAAACTTTATTCCCTGCATGATGTCTTCAGTTACTTCAAACCAAAACTACACAGTAGAGATGAATGTTGATATTTTTGCAGTTTTTATCTATAGAATCTTCCAATTACTTTCTTTAAACAAAAATCCCATCACCCTGTGATTTACATCAGATAACAGATTTCCAATGCATGACTCTTCTTTTTTTCCTAGTCTGAGATACTTCATAAAAAAAAAAGTGTCAGGTGGTACATTAGGTTGCCATATATCTATGTGGAGTATAATGTTTTGAGGCCAAGAGACAATTGTTTAGAAATATCTTTTGGAACTGGTACCCAGCTCAGACAGTGTTGACAGCTCCAGGGCTATGCATCTGAAATCCTACAAAGAAACATTATATAGTACAACTAACACCTTCAATATAAATAAATTTAAACATTTTCAAATTGTCCTCAGTGTTGATGAAAAAGATGTAATCATCATGTTTGTTTTCAACACAGTGAAATAACAGAAAATGTATTATTCTAATTTCTATTATTGTTGAGAAGTTGCACATGGTTAAAAAGAATAACATCTCATTGGTAGTAATTCACAAACCACTAACAGTTCAGTTCATGTAAATTAAAGTTTCTACTTAAATTTTTGTGATTTCACTATTCTATATAATATATACTTGAGAGTGCATTTTATGTCCGGAACTTTAACATGTCCATTACACTTAATCTTCCCCAATTCTATGTGGGAAATACTATTAAAAATAGGGATACTGAATCACAGGGAGCTCCATGACTTTGTCCAGATCATACTCGTGGAATGGGTAAACAGCAGCTTCGATTTGAACCCAATCAATGAGTCTCCACAGCCTATGCCCCATGCTACTAGTTTATATGATATATACACTTAGGTTTATGGACTATACTCAAAAGATTTAGATGTGAGTTTCAGAACAATTGGTCAGAATTCCAACCTTATATGTATATTTTTTTGTTTTGTTTGTTTTCCACATACACCAAGGTCTGGGTCATGATGGGTAGTCAATGATAATTAAACATAGTCAGTATATGCTAGTTGCTTGGCAATGTTATCCATGCTTTACATGTATTAATGAACAATAGTTAAAAAGTAAAAAACGTGATACTATTATTTTCCTTTCTTATGTAAATAAAAATACTGAGAATTTGAAACACTCATTGAATGGCACAGTCTCACAGCTAGTAAACAAGGGAGACAGGAGTTCAGCAAAGCTCGTCCTGTCTTAGAGCTCTCTTATCGTAACGCCAGCCAAAGTAGTAACTTTGGTTTGTCATCATCGCCATTATCATATCCAGGGACAAGCATATAGGCATTCTGGGTGTAAAGTATAGAGTTGCCACTAGAAATGTCTGGTTTTCAATATGTCATTTGGATCACAGCATGGATTGAGTTACGTGGTGCATTTTTTAAACTTCATGGCTCAATTCATGAACCTTTACTTCCTACAATGAATGTCACCAATTCTTGGCTAATTCAACAATTTATAGGTAAAGAATATAAATGCCTTTTCATATCCACAACCTTTCCTAGCACTGACACTTGTTATTTTAAAACTGGTAATATGCTCCATGGCATAGATGTTTGTGTGTTCGCCACTTACTCAACAAATATTTAATATGTAACTGCTGTGTAGAGGCCCAATACTAAGGAGCAGCTAGAGTAGTGAACAAAATCAACACGATCTCGGCCCTGAAAGGGCTCAGTGTCCAGGGAATTCAACTAGCTCTACCTCTCATTAACGGGCAGTGGTGGCCTCCACATAGACTGTGAGAAAGGCATTCCATGTTCCCATCTCCCCAAATCCTGGCATTTCCATGAAATCTTTAGCATCACCCTCCAAAAGAGAAGACATTATATTTTATTTTTTTAAAAGTATATAAAATCTAATAACAATTCAACATTTGTTGAATATTTTTTACATGACATATATAGTACGTGACTTTAAGAATCTCTTAACAGTGAACAGTTTAGTGAACTTACTTAAAATTCAACATTAAGTCTTAGAAAACATACATGTGTATATTGATATTCAGCTGTTCATTAAATAAATCATAATTGAGCACTTATTACGTGCCCAAAACTATTCTAAACACTGGAGATATTGACACAAATGACATCTCAGTACTAGTTCTAGAATGTAGAGTCTACATCCTAGTAAAGGAGATAGACAATAAACAAATATGCATGAAAACAGTCTGACAGAGATATGTGCTTTGAAATAAAAGACAACTTTGCTTTTAGAACTCAGAGTATGAGCTCCTGATGCAGATGAACATGACAGGCTAGTGGTGGTGATAAGTTTTATGTGTAAGCCCTAGAATATACATACAGGTCTAGCCCTGACCATAAGAAATGAGGAGTGTTACATTTAGTAATTTGGTATCTTGTTTAAAAGCAGAGATTCTGAATTCATATTGCAAAATTCAAATGTCTGTTGGACAAATTACTAAATTCTCTGCACCTTAGTTGTCTAAAAAATGTGAATGATAATACTACTAACCTAATATGGCTATATAAAAACTCAACTGAGAGAGATAAATGAAAAGTTTAAATCAGGACTACGTATTAGTTATTGAAATCATAAAGTTAGGGTGTTTGAATCTATGATATTTCAGTATTTTACTATTAAAACTCTGTGTGATAAGGAGATAATGAATGTTCTCCTCTCTTGACTCTACTGTTTTAAGTGGTGTCAAAATTCTGTCATTTTCATAATTGTAGCTTCAAGAAAAATATTTATAAATGATATTTTCTTTCTAGTAGAACATTAAATTGGCTTAATAATATTCTCTTTATATAATACAAGGAATATAATGATTATATCATTCTATTAAGTTTAGTGACACCATTACCTTCCACTAGATAATTTAGAATTTTCTAATTATCCAATTTCTAATTTCTAAAAAATTAGAAAATAATTTTCTCATTTCTAAAAAAGGCATTGCAAGCCTTGAATTACCTCAGACATCTTTCTTATTTTAAACTTGGTTTTATTATACTGAAATATGGCAATTTAATTCTTGTTTCATAAGATTATTCATAAAGTAGGTTGGCAGTCTTCAGAAATCATTTAAGTTTTCAAAAATTTTAAATCCCCACCTTGATTAAATGTGATGTGAATGACTGAGTCTTTTGAGAAAATTTATTCTCTCTCTCACAAAGTTGACCAAAAGTGTTGCCAACATTGTAGATATTATAAAATCATGATTTCTTTGTAGCTTAAGGAAACATTCACAGAAAATTTACAGCAATAAATACTTTACAAAAAAAGAAAAAAAGTCTTAACATTTTCCTTAAGACGAAGGTATGGCCTTTAGCTTTGGAGAAAAGTAAAGTGTGTGATATAGTCCATGGATAATTGCCCAAACTTTCCTCTAGCCTTTTGAGGTCCCTTAAATTGTTTTTCCTTGTGACAATATGACAAAGGCCTATTTTTCACCCCAAAGCTTCTCTGCAGGCCAAGTAAAGTTATTTTAAAATGAGTATGATTATACCATACAGAAAGATGCAAATAAGCCACATGATTTATGTGCTTGCTTTGGTTCTAACTTCTGAAAGAAGGCAAGTGCCAAATATTACAGTTCTAATCTTAGTATCTCCCTTTTAGCTCTGGATTAACACTTTTAATTTTCCCTTCTCTTTTACTGCCCTTTCCATGTCTAAAGCTTAGCATTCTGTTGCTGAAACGTTGTCTTACCACCATCACACTTTCAGATTTAATCACCCCAGTGACTCTAGATATCATTTCCTAGAAAGAAGGTCTCCTGTTTTCAAGGTCCTTAGCATTTGTATAGTTTTTCTTTTCAATTAGCATGCAGTCAAAGCACTGTGTTGGAGTGATGACCTTATCTCTCCATGTGACTTAGCTTCCTCCTCATGTAACAACCCGATATAAAATTAATTCACCTTTGTCCTTGGGCCATGTAAAGGTTTTACTTATGGTTTTCTGTCAAAAACTCTAAGAGGCAGTTGTAAAAATAGATTGTGTATGTATTGACATACAAGAAGATTACATGCACTCCAGGTATTAAAGGCTCACTCAACTCTTATCACCACCATGTGAAAAAACTGTGCACTTATGATGGTGCACATGGCATTTCCCTTTGCAGATTTGAAGAGGAACTTAGGATTTGCAGAAAAACTAATGAAGCAGTTAATGTGTGAGTGAGTGAATGAGTGAGCCTGCGCGCGCGCGCACCTTCGCATATAGACCAGAGGTCTGATATTTTACGAGTAGTTTCCACGCATCTTGAGAGAAAACACAATGCCACCTGATAACTCCTGGAATGTATACCTATCAGTAGTTGTTATTTATTAGCACAATTTAATGTTCACAAAATGTAAAGTTCCTTCATGCTGATGTTTTGGCAGGAAGATGTGGTAAAGCTGAAAAATGGAGTTCATTCTGTGTGTGCCAACTCTACAGGCAAGCTGTCAAGTCTTATATTGCCATGGCATCCGTGCTCTAAATGTAAAAAGAACCGTGCATGTATGTGGGAGAACTGGTGTCTGAAAATCTGCTTCCTGCTAGGAAAAGTTAATATTTGACTTTGGTGATGCCAGGATATTTTTCAGCAATTCTTGAGGTTTATTTTTAACCTAAGCTCAGCTTTCTGTTCATTTTTTAAAAGAATGCTTATATAGTTAAGAAGACTCTTATAAGGTCTTTAAAACAAAGTATTAAAATGATGAATTAGTTTTATCAAAAGAGGTGAATAAAATGACAGCAGGAAGTTACAGACCTATTTTTATCTGGTACTCATTCCTATTCACCCTATAAATATTAATATATTCTGCTGTCTACAGCATGAAGATGACCACACTCAGTTTTATCTGAACCAACTTCTAGAATTTATGCACATTTGGAAAGTATCCAGGTAAGATATTTTATTTCTGTTCCAAGTCTACTTTCTGAGTTCTCAAGTGCCAAATCACAATATTTTTCAGTTGATTGTAAAAACTGTCCTTTACTAGTACTGCAGAAGTGATTGTACTTTTTATAGGTATTTCCCTTTGAAAAATTCTGTTAATAATTATCTATTCTTCACAGCTATTCAGATACATTTGAAGAGCTGCTAACACCTTCAAAAACAATCTAACATTCATTTAAAAATATCTCTACTACCAATTACATTTTCAAGGATTTTTTTCTCATTCATTCTGTGAATTTGAGTGTGCATGTGTCACTAAGCTCTTTGTATAACCGCATTTCCATACTTTGAAAGTCATCACCTCCTACTTTAAATTCTTTTCTGGAGCTCCCTGAAAGTAATTGTTGTATCATAAGCAGAGGAGTATGCATTTAAATTGGAAAACTCAAGTGACAGCAAATGAACATAGCCTAAATGATTCTGAAATCTAAACGTATGTGCATATTATCTGAAAGAATTAGACCTATCAGGAAGCTAACCTAGGAGACAATATCAGTGATGCAGTATGGGTTTATCTGAAATTAAAGTTGTTCTGAGCTGAATGAGCATAAAAAATGGGGTGTGGGAGATATATATCATAAATGCCTAAAGCAAAGCCTGATATAAAAATGTAAGGTGCGTTAAAATTGTTTTTAACGACTATAGTTATCACTTCTTGAAGTTATTACACATTTTTCATACATTATCCCTTCTAATTCTCCCTACAACTCTATAACAATACATATCTTACTCCAAAATCAAGGAAACTGAAGTTCTGGAAGGTTATAAATAACTTGTCTAAGGCTACTCAGTTCATTAGTTGCAGGAATGCAATCAGGTCTGTCTGAAATTTGCAAAGGCCATATTTTTTATTAAATGATTGTGTCTTTCCACGTGTCTTTTCTCTGAAAAAATATTCAGTCATATACCATAAAGTCATAGAATGTGTAGGACTAGAAAAAACTTAACCTAATCCAAATTTTCATTTTATAGCTAATTACATAGATCTGGTATAAGTTCCCATTGAAATGCTTATTAGCAAAGGCTGTAGTTTCCTTGTTCCCAAATAAATTAATTTTAAAAAAAACTGTAAAGAGAGGCAGCAAATACGAGAAGTTCTTTGAAATGGGGGAAGTCCCTGTTAGATAAAGAGCTGTTTTGAGCTGGTTAGCTGGAGGACTATGACTTGTAGGTGGCTGTACATGGGGTACAGAGACACAGCAGAGGCCATAATAAAATGGTTAGAACAAAGCAATTTTTCTTCTGTTCCTGTCTCACCCTGCCATTGCCCACCCCCTCACAAAAGTCTAGCAGCCTTGACACTGTGCAGGACAGGGTCGACAGGGTAAATTAGGGCAAAGCCAAAGCTCTGCTTCAGTACTACAAGGAACCTGGCAGGGACAGACTAGCCTCAGAACCTAACTCTCCACCCACTCCTTCCTGGCCTAGGGCAGTGGGCTACAACCTAGGGGGACCTCAACTCCCAGTGCTGCTTCACCTCTGGTAAGGAAACTAAAACACAGACAAGTCCAAAACTTTGCAACCATTCTACATATATAACGCCACAGTCATAACTAAAACCAAGTGTCTAACCATGACTCAATGCTTTTTCCACTTCAACTGTATGCTGCCCCACTCTTATCTTTCTCAAATGTTATCTAGCACAGGAACATTTTCAGCCTCCTAAAGGCCACTGTAGACTTCACTTTCTTTTACTTTTCTTCCCAGGTTTATTGAGATATAACTGCCATAAAACATTGTGTAAGTTTAAAGTGTACAATATGATGATTTGATACACATATATATTGTGAAACATTAACTACAATAAGGTTAGTTAACACACCCTCTGCTCACATAATTAGTTGTTATGGTGAGAACATTAAAGCTCGACTTCCGCAGCAACTTTCAAGTATACAATATAGTATTGTTAACTACCATCACTGTGCTGTACCTTAGATTCCAGGAGTTTATTTAATAACTGGAAGTTTGTACTCTCTGACCAGAGTCTCCCCGTTTTCCTCCATTCCTCAGCCCCTGGCACCCACCAGTCTGTTCTCTGTTTCTATGAGTTCAATGTTTTCATAGTCCACATATAAGAGATTCAGTCGCTTTTTTATTGGTCTATTCAGATTTTCTATTTCTTCCAGATTCCGTCTTGGCAGCTTATTTTTTCCAGGAATTTACCCGTTTGTCCATTTTTTTAGCATATAATTGCTCATAATAGTCTTTTCATTCTTCTTGTCTCTTTTAACAGTTTTCGACTTACAGTTTATTTTATGTGATGTAAGAACAGCTATCTCTCCTCTCTTTTGGTTTCCAGGTGTAGTACTTTTTTTTCTATTCCTTCACCTTGAACTTCTGTGTGTCCTAGAATCTAAAGTGAGTCTCTTATAGGCTGTATATGGTTGGGTCTTTACTCTCTCCCTACATTTTGTGTTTTTGATGTCAGAATTTATATCTCTTTACATCACATATCCATTAACTAATACTGCAATTATAGCTATTTTAATAATTTTTTTCTTTAACATTTACACTACAGTTGGGTGTAACACACTACCACCTTATAATATTAGAGTATTCTGAATCTGACTATATACTTACTTTAACCAATATGTTGTATATTTTCATATTTTCCTATTGCTAATGAACACCTTTTCATTTCAGCTTTAAGAGCTCCTTTCAGCATTTCTTTTAAGGCAGGTCTAGTGGTGAAGAACTCCCTCTCGTGACTGTTTGGGAAAGTCTTTATCTCACCTTCATTTCTGAAGGACAGCTTTGTTGAGTAATGTATTCTTGGTTGGCAGGGATTTTTTTCTTTCCTTCAGCACCTGTGTCATTCCACTCTCTCCTAGTTGTAGAGTTTCTGCTGAGAAATCTTGATTGCTCCATGGTGGTTCTCTTTCATGAGAAAAAAATTCTTGTCTTGCTGATTTTAAAATTCTGTTTTTCTTTGGTTTTAGTCAGTTTTATTATAAGATGTCTTGAAAAAGGTTATTTTGGATTGAAGTTATGGGACAACCTATTACTTCATGAACTTGGATTTCCAAATCCCTCCCTAAATTTGGGAAGTTCTTAAATAAAGTTTCTGCTCCTTTCTTCCTCTCCTCTCCTTCTGGGATTCCAATGATGCATACATTATTTCTTAATGGTGCTACATAAGTCCCATAGCTTTCTTAATTCCTCTTCATTATTATATTTTTTGCTCCTCCAATTGGGTAGTTTCAAATAATCTGTTTTTGAGATTATTTATTCTGCTTGGTCCAGTCTTCTTCTGCTCTTTATCAAATTCTTAAGCCATTGTATTCTTTAACTCCAGAATTTCTGTTTGGTTTCTTTTTTATGTTTGTTTTTTTTTAAATCTCTGTTAAACTTCTCGTTTTGGTTTTTGTATTGTTTTGCTGAGATCATTAAATTGGTGTTCTGTGTTCTACTGTAATTTTCCATGCATCTTTAAAATAATTATGTTGAATTTTATTGAGCAATTCACGTATCTCCATTTCTTTGGGGTCAGTTACTATAAGTATGGCATGATCCTTTGGTAGTGTAATATTTCCTTCTTTGTGATCCCTGAAGCCTTGCATAAGTGTATGTGCACAGGGAGAAGCAGTCACTTCCTCCAGACTTTATGGGATGATTTCCATACAGAAACATATTCACCAGCAAGTGGGAGCACACTGGAGCATGCTGTGACCCTGGGTCTAGTGATGCAAGGTACCAAGTGCAGGGTCAAGTGGCAGATCCCAGTTTAGGGAGATGTCATATCTCTTCAACTCAGGGAACTGGGGTCCACAGCATCAACTATGCGGTCCTTTAGCAAGTGCTATGACAGCTCTGCAGTGGTGACAATGGCTGTTTGTGCCTCCACATCCTTCAGCTAGGGACCAGTGCAGGCAGTGGTTGTTTGCCAGAGCTGGTGCTATGCTATGCACACACACAGCTGTGGGGGAAGGTGCTTGTGTAGTGTCAGAGGGTGGCTGCAGATAAATATATAGTGGTGGGGAGGACAGGGCCAGCAGCAAAGCTCACTAGTGTCTGGGTGGGGTGTGATTAACACTGGTCCTTTGTGCAGTGTTCCAAAGGTCTGGGGAAGCTGGTTGCTCAGCTCCTTCCCCTTCCAGGCAAGGGATCTCTAGCTGGGGATTTCCCTCTTGGTGCTGATCAGTGCAGGCCTGGAAGATGGCATGATGTAAGCAAAATGAAGCTCTTCTCCCTTCCTTTTTTGTGTGTTATTCTCAGTTTCTTTGTTCCACTGTAACCCTGAAATTTCTTAGGTGGATTCTTAAGCTCTCCTAGATCTGTTTTTGTTTCTGGATAGCTTTCTAACTGTTGATCTTTGTAGGGAGAGGGAGGCTAAGATCTCCTCTTTTGCCAACTTGGTGACCCCCCCAGGACTTTGTTTTCTGTAGAATAATGCTACTCTGCCTGCTCTCCTCAGACAACTCTATGGAGTTGATTTGAATTAATGATTTTAATCATTGAAAGACTGAGCACTCGATGGAAGGAGTTTTGATTTCTGTATTCCTGTTTTCTGACTTGACTTCCTCTTAGAAATGGAAAACATGACATACCTTCATTAGTTCTTAGGAGTTTTCTATAAAATATATAATACCTAATATCAAAGTGCTGAAGCTGGTACATTCTTGATAGTTTTTTAAGTTTTAGGATCAAGTTTTACATACAAACCCTCCCTCCAATTGCCAAAATCACTATTCTTTTCCTACACCTCTATTGACTTTTACATATTTTATGCCTTTTGTCTTTGAACTTTAAGATGGTAATGAAGTAAAATGATGATGTAATAAAGACTGAGAAGATAGCTACTGTAAAATGTATTGGTATGTTTTTAACATTGTTTTTGTGTTGTATGACTAGTTATTCAATTCAACAGTTTTCAGGACAAATAGGAAGGGAAAGTCAATATTTGTGAAAATAATTTTGAACAGTGAAGCCAGAAGAATCTCTGTTCAACTCACATCTATTCCACCTAAGCATAGACAAAGCTGGAGCAGTAAAATATGCTTAGGAAAGTAAAACACAGAAGTTTGGGGTGAAAGACAACCCCATCTATTACTAATATATGTCATTAGTTCCAAAAGCAATTCTCTACAAGATTTTGTATATTTAACATTTCTTGATATTAGTATTCATCATTACCTACTTATGAATCCCTTCGCAACTTATATCTTGAATGAAGAGTAGTTTGGTATAATGAATAGTCTTTGAGAGGTTTGGTTAATTTGTCACGGATTTCTTTGGAGTTTTAAAGTCTTCAAATATGTTTATAGTCTATAAGGTTACACAAAGTTAATAAGGCTAACATCTGAAATGGCTTTTTAAATTATGTCAACAGTAATTCTTTTTAAACCATGCTGCTATAGAATCATAGACAAAGCAGAATCTGTGATACATGTGCTGAAGTTAATAGAAGTTTTCTCACCCAATTTTAAACAAATATTTTTTCTTTCCAGACAGTGCCTCTCAACAGTAATAAAAAAAATATGAATTTCACCTGAAATACCTACTGAACACCCAGGTATTAACATTTGTTACTTCATCTATCAATTCAACAAGAATTTATGAAACATCTACTCTTTTTCTAAAACTTTTCAAGTAGCTGAATAAGCAGAGGCTTTACACTTGAGCAGTTTCCGTCCTGTCATGGCAAAACAGACAAGTAAATAGATGTGTGTGATGAAGTGCCATTGGTACTGTGAAAGACCTTTGTGTATACAGGACACGTAAAAGAGGGTTATCAATTTTATTTATTTAATCTGAATGTTGAAAAACAAGTTAGTATGCTAGCCAGATAAGCGGTATGGTGAAGGAAGGTGGGGAGTAGGGATAACTTTCAGCAAAGAATAACATGAATAGAAACAGTTAAGAAACAGCTTGATGTGATTATAAAACTGTATGTAGTTTGGAATGGCTACAATTTGGGTTCAAGGTGAGAGCCTGGAAAGTGACCAGATGGAAGGGGCAAACAGGGGCCATGTTACATAGGATCTTATGGCCATTTTATGAACAATTTAATGATTTCCTAATTTATCAGCTGATAATATGGGGCCATTGTACAGGGCAGTAAAATGGCAGATGGGTGGTTAGAGGATCATTTCATTAGCCCAAAGAGATGATGAGGGCATTGACAAAAGCTATGCTATAGGGATGGCTAGGAGTGGATGGACTCATAACACATGAAAAATGTGCATTTTACAAGAATTAGTGAAAGACTATGAGTAACAAAGTAACAGGGAGTTTAGAATACCTATAGATTCTTCGCTGCTGACTGACTGCATGGAGACATCAATTCACTAGAAGAGTGAAGAGAGGAGAAGCTAGTTTGACAGGGGAAAATGATGGATTCAGTACAAGACTACTACGTTTTGGTCACCAACTTGGTATCCAAGTTGTGGTCACCATTAGGCAGATCATTTCTTATAGCCTGTTCTTCCAGGGAAGGGTTAATCTTCCATCGATAAAACATCATATAATGACAGAAATTTGTATAGGTAAAAGAATATTTTTAAAACAAGTGAGGACTTATCTTTTCCATTAAATAACTGACTCCTTACACATATAATCAGATACAGATCTTAAATAACTATTCCTAAAATTAATGAACAGTAAAGGGTCCTGAAAATAATAAGTTGTATTTCTTGATGTGGATTCCAAACTCATACGTGAATTCCATGTAAATATTTAAAGACATAGTGCTGACAAATACGTGATTCATATTCCTTCCCCAAGAGTGATCCTCTCACTCTAATTCCATTTTTTATTTCTTGAGCCTGGCCTGAATCTGGAAGTTTAAAATGTGGAGTGTGAAAAGAATTCACAATCAGATTGTTTTGAGTCTTATAAAAGTGTCATAATTAGTATTTCTTTCCACTTGATTCTTCACCTTTATGATAGCTGTTCTTCTCTAGTGCAGAATTTGACACTTGCCAGGTATCCAGGGCAGACTGACTTCTAGATCATTTATGTCTCTTGACTACGTCGAGAGATATTTTTGAGGTTATGGAACCTACTTAAGGATGATTTTTAATTATCTAAGTGTCTTATGGATCATGGATGGATGTCTTTTTACACACATGTGCACGCACAGATTAAGAATCTATGACAATTCTTAATTTTCAAACATAAAAGCTCTAATACATTACTCATATACGAAGCCTCCAATATTTTCACTTTGAAAGAAACTATTGACCATTGTAAATTTTTGCAATATGACTTAAAACTTGGCAAAACATCAAGGAAATACTGTCTTCACATTATAACTGGAAAATAGTTACAATCACCCACATTTGAATTATTTTGTAAATAGGCCACAGTGTCTGTGATTTTCCAGAAAAACTCTATCCAAAACAATGAGCTTTTTAAATGAGACTTTTCCTATGATGCATTAATATCTGAGAAGTGAGGACAGACTGTGATATTATCAATTCACAATTTGGTACTTTCTATTTATTTGACAAGTGCTTTATGCAGCATTTCATCAACGTCAAAAACATTATCAATTTGAAAAATTGTTTCTTCATATTTTCCAAACTTGGATTATTACACAATTTTGAAAAAATAACAAATTTACAGGATGAATAAATATGACACAAATATTATTGAATAATACGGATAATTTCAATTTCCAAATTTTTTTTTTCTCAGCAATGGTTCTTTAACATATTTTAGACTTGACTTACCTCAGATTGGGCATCCTATTATGTTTGTTAAATTGCTAGTTTTTTAAGTAGTTTACATAGAGCTTTTTTTCCTTTGGACCATTTCCCCCTCTCTTCTGTTCTACTAATACCCTGAAAGGTAAGGAATATTTTTTCTCTTCAGTCTATATTCTCTATTTATCTCTAACATTTCAGAGAAATTAAGAGTAGAAAAAGAGAAAGAATTTTCCCCTAAGGTATTACTTAACACTTGATTAATGCAAATTACTGAACTATTGACTCACTGGATCAAGAGGAACGGAGGTCAGAACTACACTCTGAAGTTGCTGATGGAAAAGACAGCATATTTACATAAATAATGTACACATAGTGGTATATATACAGAGCAAAGCAGTGTAAAATCAGATTCAATCTTGGTAAAATAATCAACTTCTGATTCAAAGTTGTTTTTTTCTAATAGCCCCTAATGTATTGTCTCCAAAAATTTTATTAAGATGCCAAGGACCTTTAGAGATCTTTAGAGAAAGTTAGTGATCCCTACCTCTGATAAGAAACTTATATTAGAATCAAGTAACTGGTGAACTAAATGTAAACCCGAGAGATCTGGATTGAAAAAAATCTGCCATGTTTCAAAATGTGGTTTGGCTTCATGAAATATTTACTGATCTGAAAAGAGCTAAAAACCACCATACCCTTAGCCATCTAGCCCCTGATGCAGAGACAGTACCAACTAGATGACCAGAAGAATATAGCATCATCTCTATTTCAGGTGCAAGTAACCGAGGAAAAGGCCGAATAATACTTACCTCATACTTTCCTCTCCCCAAGAGGAAAATCCAACAGTATTTAGCCTCTAGACAGTGGCTTAAAATTCTATATATAAGTGACAGAAAGGGGGTAACATAGGGAGTTCATAATATATATTTAGCTTTATTAAAACTGAAGCTCTCTTAGTAATGAGATCTATTGCTGATTTTCAGAAGTTCCAATTTCAAACTTAATTTAGACAAAGTAGCAGTAAAGATAGAATTTAGGAACAGAGGTTCCAAAGTCAGATAGATGTATATATCAGCCCTCCACCACTATGGACACTTTTATTCAGCCTTCCTAGAGTTCCTATTATTCATCACTAGAGTATAATAAAATATAATATTTTAAGATTAATGAAATGGTGTAAGTCACATGCTTAATATAATATGGTGGCTGGAATATAACATATGTTCAAGTAAATATAAGTACAAGTGCTATTGTATTGTTATTAAAGTTTTTAACACTATTAATAAAGCAGATGTATAAGATCCTGAAGCAAAATGTCACAAAACTGATTTGTATTCACACTAGAACATAAAAAGTGGGAAAGGACCAAAAAATCATAAGAAGAAAATAGAATAAATGAATAGGTAACAAGGACCAGTTGAAAGGTCACAAAAGGAGAAAGAAAAGGAGACAAAGGAGATAAAGTCAGGTCACAGGGAAAATAAACATAATTGCAGAATTGGAACTTACCTTAGCAAAAATAAAGGCCATACAGAAACTACTAAAAGTAAAACCTATTGTGTATAAAACACTCTAGACTTGAAGAAGAAAAAAATGAAAAAGTAAAGCAGACCTTCAATAAGGAAGATAGTCACTAGCCAACGTAATTTGTATTCCTAGTGAGACAGAAATCACTGAAGGGCTTTGTCAAAGGAATAGCATGATCTGAAATTTTACTTGGGATTTGTACAGTGAATTATGTAATACATGAACATATAGTAATGTACATACAAACTAAAGAGTAATAATTAGCAGGCCCTCTATTAAAAGTTGAGGAGCAAAATTTTGCTAGTATCATAGGATCAGCCCATGTGCCACTCTGTATTTTCTTCTATATAACAGGTATTCTTTGGTGTAGTTTTTTGCAGCTCCACTTTGTCATTTCAGTACCAAAATAAGCACACATTAGCAATATAAAGTTTAGGTTTCCTTTTTAATGTCTACCTAATGAAATCAAACTATGTGTACATTTTGAGCCCTGTATCTTCTACTCAATATTGTTTTTGATATTTACCCACCTTGTTCCATGTGGGTTTTTTTCATTACTGTATAGTACTCAATTGAACGAGTGAACCTCAGTTTATTTATCTATTTACTGTTGATATATAATTGAGCTAATATCAAGGATTTTCCTGTTATATACAAGGTCATAGACTTATAAGGTATTACCAGACACTTTTTTGAAAGGACCATACACATTTCACAATATGTTTTCATTTCCCTGACTACTAACAAATTCATAATTCATTTCTCTTTTTAAATGTAACATCAAACTGTCATCTCTTATAATTCACATATTCAAATTTTTTCTCCATTCCTTTATCTTTTTCAAGTAGATTCATGGAAGTTATTTATATATTTACTCTTCCTTTGGTAATGTGTATTACAATCTTATGACAGCTGGTGGCTTGTCTTTCACTTTCATATTGATATCTTATTTATTAAATCAACTTTCTCAAATTTTATATAAAATACACTCATGTTACTGTATAGTTTGACTAGTTTTGTAAATGCATATACTGTGCAATTACCCCAGAAATCAAGACATAAAATATTTCCATTACATCAAAAAGTGCCTGAGTGCCTCTTTGCCATAAATCCCTCCCACCCTAGACATCATGCAAACATAGCTTGACTTTTTCTAATTGTGGATTTTTTTTGTCTTCATCTCTGGTAGAATTTTACCAGAAGTGACAGAACAGAATCTTTACCTTGTTGTTAATCTTACGGAGAAAGATACAGTCTTTCACCATTGAGAATGAAGTTATGTGAAGGTTATGTAGTTAAGATATGAAGTTAGTTGCCCTTTGCCAGTTGAGGAAGT